ACATCCATCCATCCATCCATCCATCCATCCATCCATCCATCCATCCATCCATCCATCCATCCATCCATCCATCCATCCATCCATCCATCCATCCATCCATCCATCTTCTTCACCAGCCTTTTTCTTTCCCAGTTGTTGGGAAGTCGGTGCCTATATCCAGCAGTCACTGTGCGACAGGTGAGGGACACCCTGGACAAGCCACAAGTCCACACCAGGACGACCCAGGGACAAATGACAAAAGCATCCATTAACACTCTCACTCACACCTCGGATATTTCAGAGTTATAAATTAACCTAACATGCAGGTTGTTTTGCTCCATGGGAGAAAACCCACACGTGCACAGGGAGAACATGCAGACAGAGCCCAGGCTGGGAGGCAAACTTCTGATGAGAGGCGATGGCACTAACCACTGCACTGCCGTGCCGCCCCAGAACAACCATGTTTGTTGCATTAAAAAACTCCACAAGGCAAGCTACTTTAAAAAAACACGAAGAAATTATGTAACTTGAATTTGGTTTGTTAATTTGCACTTGAACAAATCAAACACATTTTAGGTTTCTCTCAACAGATAGGACCACAAAAGAGGTGTTTGGCCATCATTAGCCACATTTAGCAACACCTCATGCGAACACTCATGCACAGTGGAAGAGGATTCATGATTTGAGTTTGTTCTACAGACACAGCACCTTGGCAGCACATAGTCATTAAATAAACAAAGAAACCAACCGCTGACCAAATTATTCTAGAGTCAGGACCTCTATCTGACAGCTGAAACTAGACTAAAATAGTTTATAGAGAAAAAAAAAACAATTATCCAACATGCAGCAACATCTACAACATAAAAGCTTCAAAAATCACATACAAGCTGTTTGAATGAATGAGAGACTCCAGATCACATTCAGAAGAACAATAAAGCCAAACTTCTGAGAACTTCAATAAACTGTAGAACAAAGAAGGTGGACACTTCACCACAATGTAAAAAAAAAACTGATGTTGAATTACAGATAATGATTTCTTGGTTCCCTTCCTTTCCTTCCTTCCTTAGATAGAGAACTTTACTGATTGGCATTTATAATCTATGTGTTTATAGATAGTATTTAGAAATCTACGGAACACAAGAACCTACAGATGAAAACAGGGTTAACAGTCAAGCACCGATCACAGTTCAGACGTCAGTGCAGTGTGCTGTCCATGGTGCTGAAAATGACCCAAACCAAAGCAGCTGGCAGTACCTGCACACACTGGTTTATTAAACGTGCATAAAGTAAAATAAATAGAAAAAAAATATTATCACCTATTTTTTTAAAGCTATATTTATTGACCTAATCATATGAAATGGTCTCTGGTGTGCAGTGATGATTTCAAACTCAGTTATTAAATTGTGTGTGTGTTTTTTTTTTCATCATGTAAAACTCAAAGTGCTATTTAAAAAAGACACCACCGTTTACAGTTTAATACATAACTAACATTTAGCAAAGTAATTTTCAGTACAGATAAATTAACTGATGGCATTTTGTAGCAAAAGCAGGTTCATCCAAACCTCTTAGTAAAATGGACCCCCCCACCCACACACCTTAAATCAATAGTTATTGATTTCATTAAGTTAAAATAAAGGTTGCTTGTGGACGTGCTTGTTGAGCTGGTCATTTTAATGGAGGGGGTGCAGTGACCCACAGCGCCACCTGGTGGTTGTACATCAAATCATCATCTCATTAATATGGATTTGTTAAACTCTTTCCTCGTTGTTTCAAAATGAAAATAGAAATAGCATCAGTGCAACAACAAACCATCTTTTTCTAAGCTGTGTCTGTGTGCAATGTCAGTCAACACTGGACAGGAAAGTGAAGGCATCATGGAGAACATGAATGATCTGCTGCAGGTGAACCACATACCTTTTGCAGGCTAGCAGAGTTTCGACAGCAGAGGCGTCTATTTCCACTGGATGAGTTGTGATTAAAGATGATTTGTTTGTTAAACACAGAGGGGACGGACTGAACCATCTCTGTCTTCTACTACGAGAATCCCATCTGGCTAATTATCTTGTCAATAAACCATGAAGGTAATACCGCGAGAACGTGATTTTAAATACGAACTGAGCAGAGACTCTCATTGGGACTTCCAACTGGCATCTGCGTTTATGATCAGATTTATTCACATACAATTACACTGCTCGTCTTGTGACAGTGAAATGTTACCCAGAAAATATAGTGTATGTGCAAAACATTCACTGGAGGAAGGAAACCGAAGGTGGCAGAATAGATGGAAAAATATAACTGACCCGAAGAAGCTTGCAAAGAACCGTTTTTGAGATATGTACAGTGGTGCGTGAAAGTTTGTGAATATTTTTCAGTTTTACAAATTCCTGCATAAATATGACCTAAAACATCATCAGATTTTCATAAAAGTAGATAAAGAGAACTCAGTTAAACAGATGAGACAAAAATGTTATACATGGCCATTTGTTTATTGAGGAAAAGTGTCCAATATTACATATTTGTGAGTTGCAAAAGTATGTGAACCTTTGCTATCAGTATCTGTTACCCCCCCCCCCCCCCCCCACACACACACACAGCAATAATTGCAACTAAACGTTTCCAGTAACTGTTGATCAGGCATGCCTGGAGGAATCTTTAGAATGATGTGATATAATCCAGAATTCATTGTTGCATCAATGATGCCAAGCCTTCCTGGCCCAGATGCAGCAAAACAGGCCCAAACCATGATACTACCACCCCCATGTTTCACAGATGGGATAAGGTTCTGATGCAGAAATGTAGTGTTTCCTTTCTCCAAGCATGACGCTTTTCATTTAAACCAAAAAGTTACATTTTGGGCTCAGCATCAAAACATTCTTCCAATAGACCAAAGTTCATGCTCAAAAATCCAGGGATAAAATCCAACAAAGTGCAATCAGGTCATCTGGACGTTTTTTTTTTTTTTTTTTTTTTTGCTGAGAAGTTTCATCCATCATCCAAATGACTTTTTCAATCTGAGGAGCTACCAAACTTACTGATTCCCACAAACAGCATACTACAAAAAAAAAAAAAAAAAAAAAAAAGAAAAACTGTCCAGATTATCGGACTGAACATTGCTGGATTTTTACCTGGATTATTGAGCATGGACTGTGATGTTTTGAACCACTTTGGCATGACTGTCTCAGAAGAGTTGATGGGGGAGAGGGTGGGCCCCGGAGGTCTTAGCACCAGCAAACTGTATTTTTCACCATGCTGTTTGTGGGAATCAGTTTGTTTGGTGGCTGGCTCCTCAGCTTGACGAAGTCCTTTGGATGAACGACAGTATGTCTCAGCATAAAAAAAAAACAACAAAACCAAAACAAAACAAAACAAAAAAAAAAAGAGAAAAAAGAAATAAAAAGAATGAAAGCAATCGTCCAGATGACCTGACCGAACATTGTTGGATTCTATAGCCTTCTGGCTTGTATAGGCTTGTCCACGTGATCTTTAGCAAACTGCAGACGAGCAGTATTCTGGAGAGCAGTGACTTCCTCCTTGCAACCCTGCCATGGACACCATTGTTGTTCAGTGTTTTCCTGATGGTGGACTCATGAACATTAACATCAGTCAATGTGAGAGAGGCCTTCAGCTGCTTAGAATTTATCCTGGGTTTTTTGTGACTTTGCTGACTATTACACGCCTTGCTCTTGGGAGTGATCTTTGTTGGTCGACCACTCTGGGGAGGGTAACGGTCTAGAATTTCCTCCATTTATACACATTCTGTCTGACTGTGGATTGGTGGAGTCCAAACTCTTTAGAGATGGTTTTGTAAACTTTTCCAGAATGATGAGCATCAAAACTATTTTTCTGAGGTCTTCAGAAATCTCCTTTGTTCGTGACTTGATACACTTCTACAAAACGTGAAGAGCAGACATTGATAGATCTCTGTTCTTTAAATCAAACAGGCCCACTCACACCTGATCATTGTCTCATTGATTGAAAAAACCTGACTCTATTTTCACCTTCAAATTACCTCCTAATCCTACAGGTTCACATACTTTTGCCACTCACGAATATGTAATATTGGATCATTGTCCTCAATAAATAAATTACAAAATATAATATTTTTGTCTCATTTGTTTAAATGGGTTCTCTCGATCTACTTTTAGGACTTTGGTGAAAATCTGATGATGTTTTAGGTCATGTTTATGCAGAAATATAGAAAAGTCAAAAGGCTTCACAAACATCCAAGCACCACTGTAGCAGCATATGAAATGAAGCAAATGAAAAAAGTAAAAAGATTATATATATATATATATATATATATTAAACACAATAACAGTGGTAGGTTTAAAACTTGGCCTGATTAACATTTACATTAAACAATATTAAATCATTAAAAATGATTTAATTTGTTTGTAATTATTCATAAGTGTAAACGTAATCTCAGAGTTTTCCCCCAATTGTATCTGATACAGATACATATACTTTGCTAGTGGCAAAATAAAATGTAAACAAAATGCAAGTTTATTTATGACCATTAACTCGGTGTGAAAAACAGTTTTTATGTTTCATTTTCTGGTCTACTACGCCCTCTAGGGTCAAAAGGTTTTTAGGTATCGTAAAAACTGTGTAAAATGCCCCCAAAGTTTATTTCTGTGCTTCATTCGATTCATTCATTTATATTAATGTTTTTATTAAGGTGTTATCTAATTTAAAATTTACAAATCAAGCATAGCAAACGTAAATAAAACGAAAGCATCTACCCGGGCTTTTTTCGTATGCACGCAATCTACCATTTCCGGTCCGGCTGCCAAATCTGTCCGCCGCTGGCGTTCATTTGATCTTATTCATGTGGCGTGGACTTGTGTTTGCGCTTGAAATATCAAGAACTACGTGTTCGGCAGCCACTAAGAAACCAATCTGTGCTTTACGGAGAATACATTTACAGGCTAGCGGGTGCATTTTAAGCTCCGTAGACAACTGTCGCTCAGAAAAACAGCGATATATGTCAGGTGCACCGAAAAAAATCCGCACTGACAACATGACCGTCAAAAAGATCGGAACACACAACGGAACGTTTCATTGCGACGAGGTCCTGGCCTGTTTTCTGCTCCGTCAGTTACCAGAGTACACGGTAGGTACAAGTTTTAGGCTTTTCCCACATGGTTTGACCAGATCACCTCTTTTTACCACATTCCCCGTTGTTTAACCGGACAGACAGTTGACTCCAAAAACATTTCAATTGAAAAAGAGTGCAAAAACACGTGTTTAAGTCTCGATAGTTTCATTTTTACCTTTTCTAATAATGTTTTTAATATTAAAACATGTGGAAGGAAATGTTTTGTTTTATTGCTTTTCGAAATCTTAAGTGATTTTGTCCTTTTTTTAATTTTATTTTTTCTTCTTGTCATACTTTATTCCGCCAAAAGGTGGCGCTGCAGTCAAGAAAATACACATTTTAAGAAATGAGTTTCATTTTCACCTCACAATAAAAGGTTTTGTTTTGCATTACTAGTGTATCCATATCTATCTCCAAATGCCATTAACACATAGAGCCTTTATTAAGGCCTGCTTTATGAATGAACTGTCGCTGTAAACCATTAAACGAGGAACTGTTCAATTCGTGTGCAATAGTTTTAAACACTCGTTATATCTCTAAACTATTTTTTTTTCCAAGAAGCCAGACATTCTTGTATTTATAGATGCAGATACATTCATTTGTTACATAATGATGTTTGAATAATAAAAAAAAACACTTCTCGTTTCACCTGAATCATTTTTTTAAATGTAAATGACTGCCATCCCTAATACTACCTGCCTAGTTACTAATGACTGCCCCACCCCACCACAGGATGCTGAGATTATTCGGACCAGGGATCCAGCACTTTTGGCAGAGTGTGACATTGTTGTAGATGTCGGAGGGGAATTTGACCCAAAGAGGCACCGCTATGACCATCATCAGAGGTACATTGGTACACCAGTGATCTGCCAAAAAGAAAATGTACTGTTTGTATTTTCAGTAAACATTTGGATAAACTTAAAATGCAGATTAACAATGATGGATCTTCTTTATAACAGATTTATTGTTTGAAAGTGTTTTTGCTCATTTTCAGTTTGGTGCCAGCAGCTCGAATCACTTTGGAAGGTTATGCACCTGATTCTTTGCTTTAGTTTGGCAGTTTTTCTTTCTCAGTTTTGCTTTATAAGCTGATACTTCAGCCACTGAACATTTCAAAACTCTTTGTTTTTTATGAATAGTTTTGTAATGTCTAAATATCTTTATTTGGTGACGATAAAAAAAAGTATTTCTTGAGAAATGCATACATTTGGACGACAAAATATGCTGCTCGAAGACCTATTAGGTTAAAAGTAAATGGTGCCATTATAGACGTGTAAGTTGCTTTGTTGTGCAGAAGGAGAAAGTAATTTTCCCCTTTTGTATTTGTTTCGATATTATTGAACCCCCTGTGACAGCATGTGTCAAACAGGAACAAGCTTTGTTTTTCTAGTAAGGTTTCTTTGGAATAATAGCTCTGGAAGTCTCATCACGACGAGTAATCAGCCCATTCCATGTGTCTTGTTGGCTTTATTTCTAATGATAATCAGAAAAGACTTCCATGGCCACAGTGGTAAAGATTCGCCAAGGTGCTTTTCCTGGCAGGCAGTTAGTGATAATTAGAGCTGCTTCAATCGAGCACCCCCCTGCTGGTGGTTCACGAGGTACAGAGGCTGCCATGACACAATCAGAGGCCACAGGAGAATGTGGCTGATGATTATGATGGAAAGAAAAGATCTAAGTGAGCTGGATGCAGGAGGAAGGTGGAAAAAAGCTGGAAAGAACAATTAAGACATAAGTAGTAGCAAAATCTTAAAAAAATAAAACCTACAAGAGCATAAATATGACTTTTTAAACTGTTTTTTTTTTTTTAAGAGTTTGATGAGACAAAAACCTTTTTGATCATTTTATTTACCTTTGTGCTCCATGTTTCTCAGTCATTATGCAGTATAAAGAAAAGAGCTGTTTCCTTCTGCTTCAAACAAAAAAAGTGACATCAGTGTTGCGTTTCTCTTCTAAGGAACAAATAAGACTTTTTAAATTGTTGTGTTTTCTTGACCAAGGATTAAATGTGTCATATCTTTGTACTGTATTTACTGTTAAAACCTAAAGCAACATTTCATTTTTTTTTTAATCCTAATGAGTGATGTGAGCATGTTTTTATAAGATGATTTTGCTTTTTAGGACACAAACAAAAGTCTTAAAAAAAAAGTAAAAATTAATGCAATAATATGAAAATAATTTTCTTAAATTAATTTTATTGCTTAGTTTTCACTGTTTTTATTTTAGGAACAGAGAAATAATGTTTTTAGGTGTCTATGTTTTCCAACAACTCCTGTATATTGAGTTTTTTTTTTTTTTTTACACTGCTGAAGTTGTACATTGTTTATTTTTAAAGAATATTCAGGGTCATAAAGTTAAAGACAGTTCAGAGACAAATCTTAACCCCTATTTTAACATATTGTCTTACAGTGTTTGTAATTGCAGAAAAATACAGTCTGCTCTCAAATATAAGCCTAAAGACAAAATTAAACATTATTTAGTACATTTTTATAATAAGATCACTTCTAATTTGAGAAAACATTGCAAACATGAAAGCTGTTCTGCTTGAAAGATTTTTTTAAGCAAACAATAAGTGGAAGTGGAAGAAAGAAATGATTTCCAAACGCCAACTGAAGGTCATAAAACACACTGAATTAAATCAGGTAGTAATTAGGACTGTTGCCGCTCCCAGTGGAAATAAACTCCCTGCTCTCTCTCAGCAAATAAATAAAACCAGATCGATTTACTGGCAAATGGGCAATTTGTGGTTCCCCATCCCTGAGATGGAAGACTCAAACCTTTGGTTTTGTCAAATGTTGATTTACACCTCAGCTTGAAATCAATTCTTTGTAATCAAGTGGTTTTAATCTCATGCCAGTTTTATCATAAACAAAATACCTCTGCAAATACAAGATTTCCATTTTTATCACTTTATTTGGAAAATGTTGAAATTTAAAACTTGCGAAAGTCTAATAAGTCATTTCTATCTACAAAACAGATTTTATACTCGTTATAAAAATAACTGGGTGTCATGTTCATGATGGAGGATTTTGCATTTAATAGAATCGTTCCTCCTAATGATGTGAAACATTAGGCAGAGCTGCTTGTGCACATGCTCTTTTACATTAATTCAGATCTTCTTTCCTGCCAAAATGTTCCTCAGAACTTCTTTCCTGCCAAAATGTTCCCTCATCTGACCCATGTCTGATGACTTCTGTTTGGCTGATAGAAATATGCTTTGCATTCTCTATTTTAGTCTGTGATTCTTTTTGTCCTCTTAATCACTCCCATATCCTGATTATCAGCGTAGAAATGTCAGAGCTCAGCCAATTAGCTCTTTAATTGCTGTGGTTGCCCCCTGCCTTAGTAGTGTGTCACTCATTCATTCAGCGGTCTGATTTCTGCTGTGCCGGAGCCCAAGCCTCCTAATTACTGCTGAATTAAATGACCAACAGAGCTGGAGTGCTCCCAGCTCGGCTTGTGTCTGAGGGGAGACCTGCAGTGTTTGAGTGTTCACGCCTCAGAAAAACGAATATTTGTGCTTACATAAGTGTTCATATTTATACACAACCAGTGATTTTTAGACAGCAGCTAGATTTTACATCAATTTTAGAGGTTGGTACAATGGGGGGAAAATACACATTTTTATTGCTTGGACTTTAGAAATCAGTGTTTGTTATAATTTCTTTCTAGACAATGCCATGTTTTTAGTTTTTAGTCTCTGATAAAAAATAAATAAATAGCTCTTTCACTATTGAAAAGTTTAATTTAATTTTTTTCCATTTTATAAAAAAAAAAAAATCCCAAATGGTCACTTTGACAAAGTACATCTTGAGGAATTATTATATTTCATTATTCTCTGATTAGATTTAAAACCTCTTGTCCAGTTTGAATCAAATAAATATGTCAATGATTTTGTTAGTTCAGGTAAAGACGGATACACAGATGTCTTCAGGCTGCCAAAGAGCAATAAATCTGTGCTTGCAGCATCTGTAATACAATTAAGTTCCAGTCTCTAAACTTCATCTTAAAAAAGCAGTATTTTCAGTTCAAAATAATACAAAAGGTCATTGCTAAAGATGCTGGCTGTTCACAGAGCTCTGTGTCCAAGTACATTAATAGAGAGGTGACAGGAAGGAAACAATGAGGCAGGAAAAAAAGTGTACAAGCAATAGGGATAACCACACCCTGGAGAGGATTGTGAAACAAAACCCCATTCAAAACGTGGGGGAGATTCACAAAAAGTAGACTGCAGCTGAAGTCAGTGCTTCAAGAACCACCACGCACAGACATATGCAAGACATGGGTTTCAGCTGTCGCATTCCTTGCTGCAGTAATCCAGGCCAAAGGAGCCCCAAATAAGTTTTGAGCGCTGTACATGCTCATACTTTTCATGTTCATACTTTTCAGTTGGCCAACATTTCTAAAAAATCCTTTTTTTTAAATTGCTATAAAGTAATATTGTAATTTTCTGAAATGCTGAATTTGGGTTTTTTTCATTAGTTGTTAGTTATAATCATCAACATTCATAGAAATAAACATTTCATATATATCAGTTTGTGTGTAATGAATTAATCTAATATGCAAGTTTCACTTTTTGAATGTAATTACTGAAAAAAAATCAACATTTTCATGATATTCTTATTTTATGACCAGCACCTGTACATCACATCTAACAAATCCCAGTTACTCTTTATTTTAAAATCTCAAACATTTTTGACTTGTTTTGTCAGTTGATAAAAATTATTCAAAGTAATAAACCAAAACATTTTTATATGTAGTTCTGCCAGTTGTCTCATGTGGATACCACCACAGTGTGTTCAAAATAATATTTTCCCCCTTTTAACAGAAAAATGTCAAACAGCAGTTTTTTTTTTTTTAAATCTCTTCAGGACATTTGTGGAAAGTTTTCACAGTCTGTGTCCAGAGAAGTCGTGGGTGACCAAGCTCAGCTCTGCCGGCCTGGTCTACCTGCACTTCGGCCGTCGCCTTCTGGCCCAGCTGACGCAGCTGAAGGAGGGCGACAAGCAGCTGGAGGTGCTCTTTGACAAGGTGAGGGGAGAATGATAACAGGTTTATGGAGAGTTGTGGATTATCGCTGGTTCTGTTTTATTTAAAAAACAAACAATCCTTTGGAAACAGTTTAGTTTTTACTTGTTTAAGCCTAAACTGGTGAACTAAACACGAACTGAGCTTAATTCATTAGATTATTTTTTTTTATATGAAAGATCATCAGTCGTTAAGAAAAATTTAATTTAGCTGTTAAAAAACAGCAAAATTAAACCTTATTAGTTAAATTGAAACGCGAACATGGATGTAAGAGGCGCAGAATACCGGTGGTTTAACTTTCAGCATTTTGCATGCTTCCTAAAGTTCACAGTAAGAAGTGATGATTCAAATGATTTCATTTAATGCTTTTCAGACATGTGGGACAACAAAGGGTCACAGTTTTCTGCCTTTTGAGGACCAAGCAATTTAAGCTAGACAAACCTTAGGTCAGCATTAATATTAATGCTGTTAACGCATAGCATCTTCACTCTTTTGATGTGTCAGTGTGTTTAAAGCTGCAAGTAATCCTTTTACTCACAGCTGAGGCTTTATTTATTTTATGTTTCATGTCTTGTCCTCAGCGAGTTCAGACACGGTGAACCTCGGTTTTTGCCCCAAAGCTTAGTTCCACTTGCAGGCTACTTGTAAAATGTCAGCTCTTTGGTGGTTGACCTTCTGATGTTCTGAGGAGGAACTGACTTTTCAACTCTCAACACGCCTCTGCTTCTCTGTAGCTGTCCTTATAGTTTGATAGTTTATCCTAATGTTGCTTTACAGGTTTTTTTTTTTTTTTTCAGCTTAATATTGAATCACTGCACTGTAGTTTCAACACATTTTTAACAAGACATTCTAGTACTTAGATATGTGGGACTAAAACTTCATGTTCAGAATGAGAGTAGAAACCATGCACGTTGACGACCTTTCATGTGTTTTTTTTTTGCTTTCTTGCAGCTTTACGAAAACTTTGTGGAGGAGGTGGATGCTGTAGACAACGGTATCTCACAGTATGATGGGGACGTTCGCTACGCGGTGTCCACCACGCTGAGCGCACGTGTCGCACACCTGAATCCTCGCTGGAACAGCAAGAGTCAGGATACAGAGGTGAGCATGCGCTGACATGCATGGACTGTTTACCCGTACAAGAGCAACAGCACACATTATACCTAATGTCTGAGAATTTTTTATTTTAATTAATGAATACTTTAAGATTTACATAAACTGTTTATGTAAAAATGTTATATTTTTAGACCTAAATTTGGTCTAATACTGAGAGTTTAAAGGCTGAAAGTTTCAAATAATACCATCTGTTCATCATCTTTACCTGCTTCTTCCTTTTTGGGTTATGGGGGTCACTGGTGCCCATATCCAGCTATCACTGCGAGGGGCGGGGTACACCCTGGACAGGTCTCCAGTCCATCACAGGGACACATAGAGACAAACGAGACAAACAACCATTCACTCTCTCGCCCACACCTAGGGACAATTTAGAGTTACCAATCAAAGAGTCTGTGGTAGGACACCGGAATACCCGGAGAAAACCCACGCATGCTCGGAAAGTTCACGTTGTGTTTATTTGTCATATGCAGGTTAACACAGGGTCAATACTTCAATGACATGTTCAGGATGAGAAGAACCGACTTGACTAGCTAAAAACTAAAACAAAAAACAAATGAAATACTAAAGCACGGAATAAGGGTACAAAATCAAGTACCAAGAAGTGAAAAATACATAATATTTACAAGGTCCAAAAGAAATACTGTACTGTATAGTAAACAACAACATGGTAGAATATAACGGTGCAAATAGGATAAAGTCACAGGTGGTAAAATAAGTTTAAATGCACACAATATATATTGCACATAACGTATACTACACAGGTTGTGTGACTGGTTATTGCACAGGTAGTGAGTAACATTGAGATTAACTGAATTATGATGGTAAGGTAGTGACATACATGATATATAAGGATAATAAAGATAAGCATAAGGTTTTTTTATTGTCATTCTCATCACATGATGTGGTACATGTGGTGGAACAAAACTGTACACAGGGTCCAAGTTACATCCAACAAAAGTACAAATCGTAAAGAAAAACGGTAAGATCTAAGATATGAACTACAAAATTTGCTAAACTAAGAATACGGTAAACATTAACAGTACACTAGTACATAATACTACTAATAATAAAGATATAACCTACAAAATTTGCTAAACTAAGAATACGCTAAACATTAATAGTACACTAGTACACAATAATAATAGTAATAATAATGGTACACTAACAATGAACTAAGAAATTAATTTGCTTCGCTTCGAAATTTGCTTATATGCCATACTGTACATGGAATTAGATATGAAATGCATGACATGCATACATGATACTATTCAAGAGATACAAATCATATGAAACTATAAATGTCCAAATAAACTTTTTCCAGCTGTCAATCTTTGAATTATTTGTTTCAAAAAGGAGTAAATAACTCCACAAAAAAAAAAAAAAAGTAGCTTTCTAGTCTTTGCCACACACATTGCAAGAACATGAGCCTGGCCTTTAAATCTATTCTAACAACAATAATAATGATAATTAAAAAAAAAACATCTGTATGTTGAAAAGCTCGTGTACGTTTTTTTTTCATCTTAGAAACTGAAATATGTAGTTGATGACGTAGCAGAGCATTTCACCTCAGAACTCTAGCGTGCAGGCGTTGATTCAAAGGATTTGCTTCCACATCTGAGTCCAACTGAAGAAACTAATCCTGTCAGCTCAAAGCTGTGGGAGTTGTCAGACACTAAATAAGGTTAATTTAGCATCAGCAATAGATTATTATCCATTTGCTGATATGTTTAATCTGAAGGCTCATGTTTACAGTTTCCATTGTTGGACAGAGTGAAGCATAAAACACAGAACCGATTTCCAATTTCATTCTTTGACTTATGACCTTGTTGCATTCGCTTCTCCTCAGAATCGTTTTGAATTTGAGCATGCATGACTGAATTACTCCATTATCACGATCCATCATCTCTGTGGAACATGTAGCCACAGAAGCAGTTTGAAGGGTTGCAGGTATGCTTCAAATGCAGGTACATGATGAAAGTGAAGGAGGGCACCAATTTACATATTTATAGATCCATGCATGCTAAATTAAGCTACGGTGTCCCATGTAGTGCATTTAAAACATAATGGATGTCTTTCATGAAAGAAAATGTATTTGTCACAGAACATTGGTTAGTTTTTAGCAGTTAGTCAATAAAAAGAACAACACAAATCCCAGTGGATGAAAGAAATATGCAGTTTAAAAGATAATCATTATTTTATGCTTTAATACATGGAAAGCATGGACTGGTAATGCCTTAAATTTCCATTATTATTGATGAATAATCTGTCACCATCGTACATTCTGGTCTGAACTGCCTGAAGCATTCTGTATTTTTTTTTTCCCCATTAGAATATTTGATGTAAATTGAAGGGTCTCGGTATAAAAGGAAATTCAATTAGATTAGAATCACACACTGAGTGAGCCGTAGTGAAAATGAGAAGTACAAAGTGGGTTAAAGTGTTGTGACTAACAAACAGGTGCAGAGCAGTCGGTTCATTATAGAGCTTCACTGAAGCAACAGCAGCTCAGAAATGGCCGAGTGTCTCTTTTCTGTCTCATTAGTGGAGGGTAGGAACGTTCTTAAGGAAACAGCACCTGTTTTCAGAAAACTCTCAGGGGATTGGAGCAACTCAGTTTTACAAATATGTTGACTGTGCCAAGATTTTTCTTTCCATTGTTGGGGCTCTCAGGGGAAGGCTGGCCTATTTGATTTCTCCCCTCCACATTTCTCAAAAGATTATTATTATTGTCCTGGCACTTTTTTCCTATTTCCTCACTGATGCTTCTTTACTGGCAGATTGCTGGTAGACTGACCTGTAAACTGTCTGCAGCGTCTGTAAGAATTGTAAAGCTCAATAGCTTTTTACCTACGCCTTCCATGACTGCTAAAACTCAGAGCCACTTCAACTTCTTTATTAAAAAGAATACAGAGTAGAGCTCTGCCTGTCAAACTATGAATGTCTTTGTGTATGTATGTGTGTACGGTAGGGATTCACAATATTATCGGCATGGTATCGTATCGGTATCAGCCGATATTAGCGATAAAGTTAAATATCGGACATCAGCCATTCTATCAAAGTAACACCAATATAAAATGTGTGTGTGTGTGTGTGTGTATATAT